ATATGTTAAATTCAATGGTAACGCAATGTCTACTCATATGAGTGTTGGAAAATTCAACACCTTATCACCTTAAACGAAATAGGGTGAATATACATCAAATATATTTGAGTCAGTTCTCGCAATACTGGTAGATACTTCTTATGTTTGCCTTAAAATGTACTAATTTTTATTAATACTGCCAATCTACACTATGAATAGCTAACAATTAATTCAAGTTAAGTTTCCTCTTTTTTTAAGCCTATTCTTTAATACGACATACATATGGAACACAGTTTGGGTTGGGATTTGACAAATACTGTTTTCGAATGATCTGAAATGAAAGCAAACTTTGTGGGACCTTTGAGGTTGAAAATCCAAAGAATTATAAGTCAATGACTATGCAAAAGTAATCATTCAGGCCTCCACGGCAACTCTGAGTGTAAGGCGAATGATCGGTTCAGGAAAAGTTCTGATGCAGCTTGTCTCTGAATGTCGGGACACACAGCAAATTCAAGTGGTGATATGGTTACTAAGGCGTAATAAACATTTGTGCATTTCCCGAGACAGATCCACAAATGCCATTGAGCATATCCAATTAGCAAAACACTCATCGATGCTGTATTAGACCTTCCCTGTGAAAAGGATTGAGTGAAAGCGCTGCAAACTCGATTGAATGAACGACATGGCCCGAGTTGTTGAGCAAGAGAAGGGGCCTTAGTGACCCAGTGGACTGTAACTGTCAGCAAGCCTCAGGATCGAGTGTAACTTCGCGTGAGTGATCGCGCCTATTTCACATGTGAATTGTCTTGTTCGCCTTCGGTATATCCGACAAAATGAAGAAAGATTTCATTCTGGACTGCTGGCACCATCAAGAAAGACCTCCTGCTCAGAGCAGTTTCGCTGCACACCAAATCTCTTTGCATGCCAACCAGCCTCCAGCGATCCTGACACCCTCCGTGTTCTCTGTCTCGGCTCACTAGCTGGCCCATTAATTTCCCTCCTTGACCTTTCGGCGACTGATGCCATTTGTGTGGTATGCCAACCACTACGCATCCACATATAAGGCAGGTCGAGCGAACAAACCTCCCTGCCTGCAGAGGACGATAAAACTGAATTGTTTCGTCTATACAGAAGCGCCAAAATCAGGCATAACACAATTTTTCATAGCTTTTTCCACATGCCCAATCAACTTAATAGGTGGAGTCTACGAGGCAGCATTGCCGAGAGCATACAGAACCCATGGGTTCATATCGTTTTGACCGAAACTGATTGGCGAAGGAGTTTGAGACTAGTCATGCAGCGAATAGGTCTTTAGATTGTTAGAAGATATAGAGAAATAGTTCGTCATCGTAGGTCAAATAAAGTGAATTAGTCGAAATTGCTAACAATGAAACGAGACGACCTGACGAGGCTGGTGGATTTCATTTTGTTTTTGCCCCTCAAACTATTTTCACACTCAAATCAGAAAGTAATTCTGAACCCACATGTGATTTTTGCCACGAATTTTGCCTAAGGCATCTCGAGTTCGCATTTAGGATCTACTATTTTTGGAATATGTTCACTTGAAAAAAGT